GAAGCCTATCTGTGGCCATATGGAGTTTCTGTTCCTCCGTTCAACCGCTGACATCATTTGGAGTGACACACAGCCGGTGGACTTCCTCCGTCCCATTAATCACTTGTGTGTTAACAGGCACACACACTCTCTCCCCAATTCCTGTAGCCTTTACAGCTCGGCACCACATTCCGCCCTCCCTTGTTAGCTTCCCGGCTTCAACATCAGCCTCCAACGCTTTTTCCCAGCTGGCCTGCCCACTTAAAAGTGACCTTTGACCCCTCCTCCTTCTCCCCTCCATAAAACCTCCAACCTCCATGCTTTCTCCACCTGCTGCTCACCTGCTGTGTGAGTGCTGAAACCAGACGAGGGAGGACCTGTCTTTAAACTGACTGATTTGTATCAAGAAAGGCCTCTCTTTTTTTAAATGGAGCTTTGTGTGTACTTTGGCTTTCTCGCACGTGTGTTGTAAAACAAAAAGAAGTTGAACAACCCGAAAGCCGTTGGTGGGCAGGTGATACTTCTAGCGTGTTATCTTTACAGAGGTGAACCTGACAAGAAGGATTATCAACGCTGAGCTCTGATTGGCTGATTATGAGCTGAACTTTTGAACATTTGAGAGTTGAGGAGAGTGATTGAAAGTAGGGTTAACAAAGACTCAAAGAAAATGACACATGGTTATTTGATTTGTTGTAGATTTTCGGGGAGTTTGTTTGGTTATAGATATTGTTGATTATGTACATTTTAAGCCTTAATTTATGCAGTGCTGGCAAATTATAGTATAGTAGTGCCAACGCCATGGCAATTAAACATGCTGTTAAAACTCTGAAATGAACTGAATGAAGAGGACAAGTAAAAGATGGAAAGAGAGAGAGAGAGAGTCATAAAGCCAGAGTGGAAGTTAGTAGTCAGCTTTATGAAGTGATGAGAACGAGTAGTATATCAACTTTTATGATACTGTAAAAACACACAGATACATCTCAGTAGGGAGAGTTAGGGGTCTGCACAGAGGTCTATTTCTGCCACTATGTTAGGGTCCACAGTAGCCAAAACACACATTCAGTGTGGGATGAGCAGTGGTCTGTCAATGTGTGTAAATCACAAGCTGCACACATACATCTGCAGACTCCTCAGTGTAAATAAAGTTAGTCATCTCCACCGCCTAAACTACTCCTTCACTGAATCAAAAAGGAGTAAGAAAAGTCATTAAAAGAGTACAAGTAAAAACACAAAACAACTCTTCACTCTTGAACAAGTTTTTTCCAGTTTGTCAAAGAAAAAAGATTTGCAAAATTAAACAAAATTTGTTGTGCAAACCCGGTGGCTTTTCCAAAACTGTGTAGGCGTCACACACTAAATGGGTGGTTTAGCAAGTTAAGCCAAGGTGTGCACAAACTGGGTGTGTCTGTGTGTGTGTTTCCGCTACCCCCACCCATGTGAAGGGTGCTCTTGGGAGAAGGTATGTGCCTGCACTCGTGCCCACTGGTACTTCGGCTTCCCTCCATTTTGGCGTATGCAAGCTCCCAACCCAGCTTTCTGTCTTTGTTCCTTTCATATTTCTTACTTCATTTTGTTTCTGTGTTTTATGATTTTTGGGGTAAGCACAAATCATCAAACTTGTTTCCCTTGTTTCTTTTGTCTGCCCTCTCGTGCTCCCTCTCTCTCTGTGCATGTTGGTGTAGCTGTCCTTATTTGGCTTCTCTTCGAGTGAGTGGGAGTGTGAGTATGAATGTGACTGTGTGTGTGTGTTTCCTCCTGACTGTGAGTCACTGCTTGTCTGACTCACGAGCGCTAACAAAAACACAGAGTTACCATGGGGACACACTCACCCCTCCTCTCCCTGCCTCCCCTCCCCTAACAGTCTCAGCTCTCCCTCCTTGCGGGCACCGCTACATCCCGGGCATCCCTGGCACTGTTACATGGGTGGGATGGTGGTGGTGGTGAGGTGGGAGAAAACAGAAAGAAACAAGCATACAAGTAAAGTAAAAGCTGGTTAAAAGAGGAATAAACTGTAAACTTAAATTCAAGTCCAGGAGCCTGCAGCAGGACAGAAACCTATTGTGCTAGACAAACAATAAACTATCATCAATAGTAAGTAAAAAGGTTTTCACTGGCTGTGACGGGGGAAACAGAAAAGTGCCCACCTGTGGCTCTATTCTCTGCTTTTGTTCGCTTGCTTTTACTGCTCTGAAATTGCAGCCTGCTTTGAACTGGGCCTGTGTTTGATGTGCTGGCGTCAGTTCTCGGCCTTGCTACAACCTCCAGGGAGCTTGATAATGTGCCCACGTGTGGCGTTACATTTCGACAACCATCAGGTAGGGCATTGGACGTACCCACAGGCTCACTTTATAATCCCTACTTCCTGGATGTTAAATGCTGGTGGTGCGCCACCCAGTGGATCTATTCCTAACAGACAGATGGGACAGATAAACTGTACTGTATCATTGGGTTATAATGGCAGGTAGTGTTCTGGACATTTGAATAACACTCTGACTGACCAACCAATAATTGAAGAATGTATGATGTTTAGACGTTACCAATTACCCCAAAGAGACTTTTCCCCTCGAAACTACTCCCATTAATTTCCCTTCAAAAACTGTTTGAGGTGAACCCAATATTTCAGAAATATACCTTTTCAAAACACACAAATAAATACTTTTTCATTTGGGAGTAGAGCTGGAGTGTTTGGTTGAGGATGCTGAGGAAACATTTTAGTATTATGAAAACCTCTCCTTCTTTTGTACGCCACACTGGAGTCTATCAGAGCACCTGCAGCAGTATACTAAGACCAGTGTCCATTTAAATGTACAACTTCTAAACCTTCGAACAATGAAAACAACAATAACATCCACATAATGTGCAATAATACTTTTTCAACATCACATGCAAACTTACACTCTATTACCAGTGGCAATATTACTCTTAATATCATGCACACATTTATTTTTCTATTCAGGTTTACTTATGTTTAGATATTTTTTCTTACTTTTATTGTTATTACATTTTGCAATCATGTGAGTAGTTTCTTTAAACACTTTATATTTGCAGGCAGCTCTTGTTTTTATTAATTAATTTTACTTTGCTATTCGTTAGTGTTTCTTCCTATAACTGTTCATGTTAGTCATTCATATTGTCATTTTGGGGTAGTCTCTAGAATATTCTTCTGGATAAATAAGGCACTATTTTTTATTTTATCTTGTGTCAACACATCAGATTTAGGCCAGAAGGTTGTGAACCACTGGACTGGATACCAAACTGCCAGGGGTGGGAATAGGCCTATGTTACATTTTACTACACAAACTACTACTCTATCAAAGTAAAACTATACAACACTGTCCTGATTGAGGATCATTATGGGTTTGGTTATCATTCTTGTACTTCAGCATGGATTTAAAAAAATTGCATCTACTTTTTTTTGTTACCTTTATTGATTACATCCACAGGGCAATCATGTTTAGTGACGCAAATCACACACACCCATTGATTGCGTCCTCAACAGGTGCATGCATGCTGGGACTAGCTAACATGCATACCGCTAAAATGCCGATGTAAAATGCTCATGTTGGACCCTCCAGATGGGATTCTGCTTTTAATAAGGAACTTTTTACCTTCTTTGTGTGTCATGGGGCCTTCGCGAAAAGATTCCCTGTTCTGTTTGCAGAGCCTTTTCTCAAAATGTTTGAACACTTTAAGAAGTGCATTTGGATAGAGAGACGAAGTGGACTAGTTTGCCTATTTTGATTTGAAGAGGACCGTGCAGAATAAGGAGAACTCCGTCTAACAGGATGCCGTTCATACAGGTGAGTGCAACAACAGCAACACACTTCCTGCACTCACTGTACACATGAAGCCACTGCGCATATGCACCACGACACAGTAAAAACTGTGCAGTCTCTCCCTTTCTGTTGTGCATGAGTTTGTGTGATGTCGCTGCAGCGTCTGTGGAGTTTATCGTTCATACCGCATGTGTTGTCTGTCTGCTTTGGCCATGTTTAATTCTGCTGATGACTCTATAATATGTGGCATGGTAGTTTTCTACATGTAGTCTATTAATACCCGCCGTGGTGTCCATAGACTCTTTGATTGCTGGTCATTTTGGTCTTTTCTGGTTAATTCTAGTAACGGTACACAGAGTAAGGAGGCTGTATAATTCATAATCAGTTGCAAGCCTTTATATGAACAGGCTTCCATCTACAGAAATAGATGTTCTTGTTTGTTTGGACATCACTTGTTGCTGATGTCGATCATAACACCCTCCTCAACATTAACTCAGAAAAGCTCAATTTTAACTGACCAACCCTTTACTTATGCAGGTCAATTTTTACTCTTGTATTTTGACTACTGTATTGAGATAAAGCTAGCACCAACACCAACAACAGTTTATGCTGTTTACACGATAAGGCATCAGTATTACAAATACTCAATAAAATCCTCGAAACATTTGTATTTTTGGCTAAACCTGTCCATTTTGCTTTATTAAACTCTTAACACTTACATTGTTATGTCAGCAATTTTATTTAAGTAAAACATCCTTATATTTCTTCCAGCACTTTCTTTCAGCAACTTGATACATGCAGACTGAAGGGAGATTTAGACCAAAAATACAGCTGCATACTGTACACCTGACCCTGTATGCTGCCAGACAGAGAATCACATGAAAGTACGGAAACACACTCTTTCCCGTCAACCCCTCACACACATGCACAGACTCTCTCACACACCAGACACACAGTTCAATTACTTTTGAACTCTATTTAACCTTTGCTTGGCCTTTAAGCTCTCAGCAGCTGGCTGGTGGAGAATTGTGAGAACTGAAACTGAAAACTGAACGATAGCGTAATCCTCTGCAAGAGAGAAGGAGGGAATTAAAGAGGAATCATAACAGAGAGACTAATAACGAGGAAGAATGTGAGATAATACATTTCCATTCACACAAAGAGCTTTAAAACAAAGTGTGTGCCTTTGGAGCAGATAGATGGGAAAGCAAAATGTTAAGTATTGAAGAGACAGACTACAGAAGGCATGAGAGATAATGACAACAGTTTAATATATTCAAAAACACCATTGTCACACTTTATTGAAAAAATGCCACCTGCCTTATATACTGTATGCTTTTACTGTATATATACATCAGCCATGGTATCATAGAGTTTTCTTTGCTGTGACTGTCAGAACATACATAGTGAAACGCTAATGCACACACAGAATGATGTACAAAGATGAATTAGGACACTGTAAAGGTGTGAACAGGTACAAAAAGACAAGTTCTCCAATTTGCACTTTCACTTGTTGCAATGCATTGTATCAACATAGCTTGGATTGCGGCATGTATACCTTCTCTACACTCGTACACATTGTGCTCCAGCATGACAGCTGTGCCCCTGTGCGTAATAATCCTCAGTAAGCTCCATGGCTCCTGCATTCTCTTTCACTAGATCCCCCGGAGCATCTCTGACCTCACTGTGCAGCCTTAGCTACACCTCTCTGCCCCACAACCTGCTCACACTCTGCTCACGTTGGACCCCATCACATCCTATAACTATCTTTCGCGGCTATAGTTGCACTTCTGAGCTCATTCCCGGTCCTGACCCTTATCTAATTAATGGAATAGTACAGCATTTTTGGGAAAACCCCTTTTCACTTTTGGTTGGAAAGTGTCACCTGTGCTAAATGTGAAGCTACTGCAAACAGCAGGTTAGCTTAGGTTAGCATAAAAAAGAGAAATGGGGGAAACGGCTTACTTGCCACATCTTAATCAATGTTTTTAATATGTAAAAAAAAAAATCACATTTGTTTAATACGTACGAGTGTAAAAACATCCACTTGCAATTTGTGCCGGACTGTTCCCTGGCCATGACAACTAGTGGACACCAAAAGACGTTACTCTTCTTAACTAAGTAATAGTCCTCTAGTATCAGAATAAAACCAGCCTGCTTAACCATCCTCTCTGTTTTATTTTCCGGGCCAAACGGGACCTCTTATTTGTGGAGCAAGTTTGCCCCCTGCTGTACACATCGGGCCTCCTCCAACCTTCCTCGCCTACTTTCCAGCTTCCATGGTTAAATGTATCAATACATTTTATGTTAGTGGTGCTTCCCTTTGTTGTGCACCGGAGCATTTTAGAAAAGAGTTTAGTGGTAATACATTATTAAAAGTGAGTGCTAAATAACACGGAATAATGTGTTATTTAGGATAATGGATATAATGGATAATGGATTACCTTTTTGAACAAAAGCAGGGCTGATCTGATGACCAGTTAATACACTCTGTAAAAATACGTGTAGGAAATGTTGCAACCAGAACACACAGCCATCCTTTTCTTTATGCGTGATAATAAAATAGATCTGCGTGGGCTGAAGGTGGAGGCTCTGAACTCTTTCACAGTGATCTTCTGCCCATCTTGGGCTTCCTCTGAATGATGGGCCAAAACTCCCACAATGTCCACAATCATTGTTGTCACAGTGTCCATAAAGCTCTTTTAAAATGCATGAAAATGGGATAATATTTTCTTTTTATAGTTTGTTTATACTTTTTAATTATAAAAATAACTCTCTCCCTCATTTGTTTGAAACAAGTCTCTAGAAGTGTGGATAAAGGAGGATTAAAGTGATGGGGATGTACATACATTTGTAAAAACTTGACTTTAAAATATGCTTTTCCTTCATAGTTCCTTCAGTCAGTTAGCACTTCCTTCATATTGTGCTTTAAAAAGGAGAAAATAAGCTGTTAAAGAGTCTCTGAAGTGGCTCAAAAAGTCAAATCCATAGTACAACTTTTTTCCTTTTGTCTTCTTATATCTTGGTATCCTTCGCAGAGCGCTCAAACATCTGTCATTGGAGGGGAAAGTCTCAGAAGTTGCTGAACAGCTCATATTTTTTCATCCAGTCCATTTGTGGAGCCTTTCTCTTTTCTTTGTTATGGACCTTCATCTTTTCCTCTGCTGCCGTAGCGCTCAGACTCAGACCCATCTCAGCGAAAGGGTCCATCAGCTGGCTGCCTTCATCTTCTGCCAGCTAAATGGGAGATGGAATGAAAGAAGCACAGACAGAGATAAAGGTTGAGGGTACTGACTTCTATGTAAAAGACCAAACAGAATACATGTAATCCTCACACCCACCTGTGTGCTGTTGCCCTGGCTGCTGAGGTCGGAGCGCGTGGACCTGAAGGACTGCGTGGTGGAGCTGCCGTTGATCTGAGGGTTCGGGGAGCCGTTGGATATGGAGGGACCGTCATAGTCTATAGAAAGGAAAATCCCATAGATTTTTGTTGTCTTTATACATAGTCGATATTCAAAGGAATGGGTTCCCAGTCCAACCATGTTTGTATTAGGGTTCCCTGAGGTCTAATCCAAAAGTATTGCCAACATTTCATAATAAAATATGGAAAAGTAATTACAAAAAAGGCTTGTTTCCTTCCACTACGGTTTATTGTGAGGTTTTTAAGGAAGGTTATCATCATCATGTTCATCATGTATGTAATGATTTATAAGCTAAATCTGTTTCCAGTGCACATGTCTCATCTGCTTACTTTAACTTTTCCACCTCAGCCGAGTATTACAACTTTTTTGCAATATTGAAAGGTTATTTTGCCCGTTGAATGATAATGCAACTAATGTTTTAGTCGAGAACTATATACAATTCTTAAATGTTCTTGGTTTCCCAGAAATAACCATGTCATTTTCCACTCATTATAGGAAAAATCTGTTGATTTAAATTGAATTACTTCCAATAATGGTTAATATAACCTCTGATATTTTAGCTGAGCATGCAGGAAATGTAAATGTACACAAAGAAACAAGTGAGAACGTAGGTGCTCTTCAAGTACTTTCCAAAAAAAGTGATTGAACTCTAAAATAGTAACCAGTTTTGTTGACCACCTCAGAATTTGCAGTGAAATACCTGCTATCACTATCTATTATGAAATGACCATAACATGCATGTTAATGTGGTGTTCTGACAGTTATGTGCATGTTTACCTCTGAGATGGCTGATTGTAGGGACGACCCCACTCCTCTTGAAGTGTTCGTCTGTCTCTTGGTCCACCACCAGCAGCCAGGTCTCATCTCCCCCTTTCTTAACGAAGGCCACCACCTCTGCATGCCGCATGCCTTCGATGTTCACACCATTTACCTGGAAAACGGAGAAAAAAAGAGAAGGGTTTATTTGGAAGGAAAGAGATTTTTTTTCCGAAGACAAACTTTTCCATGTCCATGAATTGCTTAAATGACACTCAACTTAGTTTTGAATGCAACACCTGAGTAAACCATCTTCCACAACTTTCATTTATACCACACTGAGAGCTGTGCTACCTAAATTATCCAGTAGGTGGAGCTGTGGGACAACATACTGATTACACACTTTTCAACATGACCTCTCTACAAAACGTTACGCAAACTCTTGTTATGAATTATGAATTCTTGAAACAGGGTTTGAGGGAAGCATTAAGGGCAGCTCTACAGGGCAGCTGTTGAGTTATGATTTACCACGATTAAAGACTCCTTCAATTCCAAAAGGGGTTACAACAATCGTCCCTCAGAGGGACAAAATGATATGTCTGCACGTGATTGACCATTTATGTCACAATATTGGCATAACAAAACAGAATAGCCTTTCTCTTATCTAGATGCTGTCTACATTTGGAGGCCTGCTTTGTCTAGACCCTGGCTTCTCTGAGGCAGGTAGCTTCGCACCACGCCAAGTTAGTGTTGGTGCACAATCAATTATTGATGGCTCTCCTGGGCTCCGGCTATAGTGCGGGTTTCAGGTGTCCAATTCCTGAGGGGGAATTTGTTTAAAATTCACCGCTTATGACAAGATGGGACACATTAGTGAAGCAGAGGGAAATAAACCCTTAACAACTGCTTTTGGGCGCCTTGGTGTGTGGAAAGTGGGTTATATAAATATAAAAAATAAGACAAATGGGTTGATTGAGAGAGACTTTATGGGCTTTTCAGGGAAGAAAGGAAACAAGATCAAGAGAGAGAGAGAGAGTGGAAGGAAGATAAAAAAAAGAGAGGAATTGACAGATGGAAAATGTGAACTGCTCCTCTCCTCTGTTAAAAAAAAACGTATCCTTTCTTCCCAGGACTCATGATAGACAAGCAGACGGACATACAAAAAATAGACATCAGTCAGCCAGGGACACAGACAGACAGTTTGATATAGAGAGAACAAGCATCTTTGTATTGGGCCAAACAACAGGTGTTGTGTCATGTTTCACAGCCCTTCATTAGCAGTCCATCCCACACAAGACAATACACTCTGCTCCCTGCACACACTGGCTAATTAATACGAGCTGCAGGAACAGTACAGAAGCTTATTTCTCATGGGAATATTCCTAAGGGAACCTCTCGATACTTGTCGTGTGTGTCTGTGTGTGTGTGTGTGCACGAGTGTTCAGGTGTATAACTCATGAAAGTCATGTAGAGTCCAGCCACCTGACACATTTTTGATGTTGTTTGGTTGTGTTAGTGCAGCTAGACTAACCTTGGATCAATCAAAACAAACAATTTCCGTTGCGTCTGCACATCTGTGTGCACGTTGCGTGTGTGACATTTAACTGACCATGCAGCAAACAATGAGAGGTGATTAAGATGAAGTCTGCACCCCATTGTTAGAAAAGCTGTTATAGATAATGCATGATTCAGCAACTGCACAGCCTGTTAGATAAATGAGTGGAAAATGTAATGTTCCCACAACAGCTGTGATGTTTTTTTTCCAGTGGAAAGAGTACTTATCACTCTGCGTAGAAAGATTTCATGGTAATGTCTCAGCAGTAAGGACACCATTTGTTGTTTAAAACGATGGACAGATAATTTTGTTCTTTGATAATTTTGTTCTATGCTCCTCAAAAAACACCTGCATGACTACAGTTACAATGAAAATCAATATGCATCTAAGTGGCTATGTGAACAGTTTGACCATGGTCACCAAATCTGGTCTGTCAGGGATTTTTGTGTGTGCAATTCAGTATCTCGCTTGTTTTTTCATGCATTTGTATATGGAACCAAAAGGAACAAGGACAGATTTCCTTTTTTATGTTTAAAGGTGGGGTAGGTAAGTTTGAGAAACCGGCTCAAGATACACTTTTTGTTATATTCCATGGAATGCTCTTAACATCCAGATAGCAATGAATATCTTAAGTGCTTTGACAAAAAATACATAAAAAAATGTCATCTGTGGAAGCCGTAATACTGTAAAAAGTACGACCAATCATTTTAGCCGGCCTGGCTAAAATAACTGGATGGCCTACCTGCCTGTCAGCCTTCCATCTGTGCACAAACTTATCTCATGCCCTCATTGGTCATGTGCGCGTTCGTGTGTGTTGGAGGAGGGGCTCTGTAAGGAAGTGGCAGATTTGTTCCGGTTGTGTATTTTCAAATTCTAGCGCACTCGAGCTGGTTTCTCCAAAATTACCTACCCCACCTTTAAGTGGTGCACATGATATCTCTGAATGTATTTATTTGTGTCTGCTAAAAATAACTTTACAAAAGACACTTCTGCTGTACTTAGGCACAGTGAGGCTAATAACAGATTGTGAATGACACCACAAAGCTAAAAATGTTTGCGATAAAGATGATGTACTGGAAACTAAAACATTGGACCTGTGCAAAATGTCATGTCAGTCCCTCCAATAGTTGAGTTTATGTCCAACTGGAACAAGGAGGGTTACAGACCGACATTACCACCCATAGAGCCACATTGCTAAAATGGTTAAAGCTAATCATTTCTGAGGCTTTTTATAGTTGTCTACAGTCTTGTGCATTCAAAATATAAAAGTAAAATGCCTGACAAAAACTTAGAATCAAGTTTCTTTGATGTGGAACAGCGTGAAAAGGTTGTGATCCAGGTATCAGGTGGGCTACCAAGAAGTTAACCTCAAGTGTGAGTATTGTGCACTTTTCTATGTTCTTTAGTGTCACCCTCAAGTTTGTAAAGGTACAGAGTACGCACTGTTGAGCACAGGCTGAGCAGAAAGCCTGATGAAGCATTCACTGGTGTCACTGCTTCTGCCAAGCATCGACAGCTGGGCTCTCATCATAGCCTTTACAGCGCTGGCTGCTGATACACCTCCAGCGTAATGGGGCGTGGTGAGAAAGAGACAGAGAGAGAGAGATCTGTCATGGTTGTTCACCTCTCTAACAGGCTGCTGACAGATAACACAAGCGCTGTCTTGACGCATGGTTAGAGACGGTTGCAATTATCAGCACGTGCACACACACACACACACACACACACACACACACACACACACACACACACACCAGGTCTCTCATAAAGTTGACCTTAAAGCGTCCCACAGGAAATGCAAAATACTTCCAAAACAAAAATAGTGCGAAGTCTAAACGAGATTCAATGTGTTAAATTCTATTTGTATTACATTCACACAGTCCCAGGCTAGCAGTTTCCCATGTTGTCTTTGTGCTAAGCTAAGCTAACCAGCTGCTGGCTCATGTTATATTACACTTGATTCATCATTAGGAAAGAACATTATCTTTTTGTTGTGCAAAGCAACTTTCATATCTCTGCAAGGGGCTTTTAGGATATTAGTCTCCTATCAAATAATACCAGTAGCTGTCTGGGAAATAAGAAATTAACCAAACATTTGATTGAAAAGTTGTCTTAAACATGCAAATAAAAACCTTACATGTTGGGAGATCCTATATGAACTCTGTTTAGCCTCCCTATCAGACCCCACTGAGTCCTGTTTGGCCTGGTCTGCACCCTGAAGTTCAGCCAGTGAGGACAAAGGTCATGGGAATGAAGGATGAATGTTGTGTGTGTAAACTCAGATGGAAAACTGCTTATAATGAAAATGATGATGTTACTGCCAGCGTAATTGGTTGTACTCTTCACCGTGGCAAACTTGATAAAACACTCATGATCTTGTCACCTATTTGCTCATGTCGAGATGAATCGAATATCTTTTAACTTTTATTTGACTGACACTTAAATGCATGATATTCAGTTTGGGACAGAAACGTTTTAAAATACAGTTTAGAGTCTGCTTTTGTTATCTGTTGTTGGGGACACTCCTTCTGTCCTTGCATCTTCGCTATCCATTGCTTTTTTCTAATCCAACACACACTGTCTACCTCTTTTTCTCTCTATGTTTTAAAAGAAGCGGCATACACACACACTCCTCCTCCCCCTGCCACCCCCTGCGATCGGACTGATTTATAACGGACTCTCCTCCCCCCTTTGACCGGCCTCTTCTCTCTCTCTGCAGTCTGACACACAGTGAAGATTGAGTCCAGGCTTCAGGTCCTGTTATCTTTAGTAACAGAGGCCTGGCAGCAGACACACGTGTGACTCCTGCGTTGTTAATTACAGCTGTGACAGTTTATGTAGATGGGGTCACATCTGTATTTGATCAAGTGTGAAAACGCAAACGTTTCTGTAACTTTAGACAAAGGTATATCTACTTTTTTTTTTGGACCAGCTCTCTGTATAATGATTCTTCCACAGATGGCTGACTTTTCTACTTTCTACTATTGTTGGATTGAGTTATTCTCGAAGAAATGGACAATGACATCTGTTGACTTTTAGTGACGTTCTGAGCAGCCTGGAGCTAGGGCTGTGCAATTAATCGTATTTTAATCGCAATTACGATTTTGGCCTGCCACAATTACGAAAACAACATAATCGAAAAAAACAATTATTTTGCTTTGCTAGGTTGTGACAGTGCACTGCAACATATTTGATCTAATTTAATTTTGGTCTCATTTATTTGTATTTATCATATTTATATATGTTTAGTAGCTTGTGGAAGTGCGCTCCAAAATATTTGTTGATCTTGTTTATTGGTATTTATTATTTTGATATTATTTATTTAAATGTATCATTTATTTTTGTATTGGTTTTTCAGTTGAATTATACGTTCAGGGTAATCAACAGTTGAAAAGATACTGTTCAAATTATTATTTGTATTTGTTTTAAAGTTCAATAAATGGATTTTTTCAAAGTCAATGAATAATCGTATTTAATAATCGTGATATCAATTATTGACCCAAATAATCGTGATTATGATTTTTGCCATAATCGCACAGCCCTACCTGGAGCTACTTTCGCTGAGAAGCACTGGTAGGCAGTGCTGCGTGTTGGTGTGTTGGTGTGTCATGGATTTAATGCTAAATAGAAGGTCAAATAAGTGTACATGGAGATTTATTTGGAGATAATGGACTGCATGGTTGTGTGGAAATGTGGGCACATGTGCAAAATCAGGAGTGTAGGCACACAGCAGCACACGTATACAGTTCAAACACACCTACAAAGCAACAGAAAAAGTGGCACAACGCAGGGCGAGAAGAGGCTTATAGAGGGATTTTCTCACACCCAGTAAATCATATTACTCTCAGACATCTACCAGATTAACCCAGAATAATTCATCAGTAGTCACCTCATTAGTGTGGGTTCATTCCTCTGCCTGGGTCTGCTGTCAAAGTTCATACATGCATGTAAACACTCACTTAATACTCCTTAATATTCCTTTAAGCTTATCACAACCATGGGAGGTCTCTCGCCATCCCATTAACTTCCGACACAAAAATACTCCTAACTGATCCACCACCCACCACCGCTGCATATACACTGGGGCTATAACCTTGTATTTGTTTATGTCACATACACATCTGTTTTTGTATCTGTATCTAAAGCTGCACTCGTTCGTTTTTGAAAGTCTACTTTTCATTTTGTATCTTATTTTGTTTTCTATTGCAATCTATACTCTTATAGCTTCCAACTAAATAATACCATCATACAAGTCAAATAATAAAACATTCAATACAGAATTGCATTGAGCCATATTGCATGCATTTTGTTAACAAACTCAAGGTGGAATTTATAGTGGCCAGAGTTCAGATTAATTAAAAATGTAAAAAAAAGGATTTGAGAAAATATCGTATAGGCAAAAAAGTGCTACAGTCATCATTCTACAGTTGGTCAAATAGCAAAGGATATTGAAGTGTCAGGAAGTCCAGATAAATACAAAGTTGGTCAAATAGCAAAGGATATTGAAGTGTCAGGAAGTCCAGATAAATACAAAGTTGGTCAACAACATTTTAATTAATCCCACCTTTTGGGAAAAAATATACAAACCTATTTAGCTTGCTTTGTTTCTGAGGAACGCTCTCAAGACACAATTTCAGAAACTATTTGTATTTGTTTAAAGGTAAATCTATTCATAGCTAAATAATGTATCTGTTAATCTTTACATCTAATCATACACAACAACAATTATAAAATGCAGTCCAATCAGCAAAAAGGTAACAGAGCTTCAAATCTGACCATGTTCACAAAAAACGAGACCAGAGGAGGATTTACTGCAGTGTTGTTGTATTAGACTGCACTGTTCTGTAATACCCAGACAATACATCCACGCTCCTTTGTCCTACCTCAATCAGCCTGTCCTGGGCCCGGAGCCCGGCGTGGTCTGCAGCTGATCCGGGGTCCAGGGAGCGGATGTATTGTCCGGGCCTGGATCGATCACTGTGGAGGTTAAAGCCGTAGCCGGCGTCAGACCGGATCAGGTGGCAGAGGCGTGGAACGAGCTCGGACGGGTCGACCGGGGGCCGCGACTGGACCTGGGCTTCAACCTGGGCAACAGCCTCCTGCAAGGGAAAAGTAAAAACATAAATGCACAAGTTCATACTTTAGTTACTGATGACAAACAATGGAAAGTAAAATTCTGAAATGCTCCATGGAGACATGGGATCATTCTCAGAAAGGAGCTAGAAACTAAATCACAACATTTATATTGTCTTAAAGGTCTCCTATTATACTCTTTTTCATCAATATATTATAGCTCTCAGTTATATACAAAACATGTCTCTGAAGTGTTTGCTTCGAAATACCAAACAGATCATTGCAGCATCCCATAATCCCCTCTGTTTCAGCCCTGTTCCAAAAGTGCTGATTCTCTGTCTGTTACTTTAGATGAAAATAAGGAGCCACTCCCCACGCCCCTCTGAGAGATATTTGGTTAAAAAGAACACAATGGTGCTCTAGGAGGAGATTCAGGTGATAAAGTGGGGGGGGGGCGGGTTACCTTGGTTGCTGATTGGCTAATGGTTACACGAGCCAAAAAATCATATCACATCATAAAGTGGCCAAAATCTGATCAGCTCATTTTCAGACAGGATTTTATATAAATGGATCAGGACAAAAAGTGAGCAAATCTTTTTTCATGAAACTTTCAGAATCAGGGGACACATATTCATGTAGAAGATACATGAAAAAGTGGATTTTGCACAATAGGTGACCTTTAAAGCCTTTAAAAGTGGTTATAAAGGTGCAGTATAAATATATAGTGTTATTTGCCCATTGCAGGTCATTTGATTACAGCATGTGACTAAAACGCATAACTGAGTCCCTTTACCCATTTATAGCAACCACCGCTCAAGCCTTTCTGGTTAATGTTTATACACATTTTTTTTGGTGGAGTTTGATTTCACTACAACATTGTAAAGAAATCCCTTTGTTTATGGTCAACCTAACCTCATACAAGGATTCACAAGATATCTTGGGCAAGCCCTTGCAGTGCAGAACCTTTTTAGGCAACACAACTACATAAGCTCTTGGAAAAGATTATGTATTGGGCTAAAATTTGCAACAAAGTTGTGTAATAAATAGGTAAATGCTAATTTCTGGTTTCACACAGTCTGTTGGGTGAGAATCCATTGTTTTTAGACCCATCCAATCACCCCTAAATCCTCCATTCACAGTCGCTCTTTATACGTCACGTCTCCTGTTATTTTAGAATTTGAGTGCATTTATTTTGTATAAGTATGGATCCTAATAGTAGTAATAATAATAATAGTTATTTTCTATAACATCACTCTTTCCTGATGCATCGCCTTTGTCAAAGTTGTTGAATAGATTGTATGTACTTGGAGTGAAAATGTCCATTTGCAGCTCATCACTGACAGCTCTTAAAGCCTGCGTGAAGACATTTATAGAACCTGTATAATCACACTGATTTTCCACCCACACACCGGGTAAAACATGTGCAGTGAGAGGGATGAGAGCTGGTGGCCAGCTCTGTAACCTCAGCTGATATTAGCTGTGAGGTTACTGACAGGTAGAGTGGGTGTTGGGTGACCAAATATGAGTCTACATATGGTGCACATACTGTGTTCATCGGACAGATCTGTATTACGCAATCTGATAACTCCATTGTTTCATGTGAAGCAACTATCATGGTCCGTTTTGTGCATGCTAAAAATACAAATGGAGTATGTGGGTGGCATGAGAGAGAGAAAGAGAGACAAAAGTACTGTAGAGAGGAGAAGATGGTTCATGATTTATTATGAAAGAAAGACTTTTTTTTTTAAAACTTCCCCTTCAACATTCTTGTGCCATTATTGCAAATATATTTGAGGAATTATGGCTGAGTCTGGATCACCACAACAGAGCCTGCAAATAAGCCTCGACAAAAATAACACAGATGGCAACATATCATTTATTTTCAGGCACTGAATTCTTTAAGAATTCTTTAGGGTAACTGTGATCTGGCAGTCTGCCCTGAGTAGAAATCAAGAGCAAAAACTCTAATGAATCCCTCCAAATCTTCCTTTCCTGGCCAGAAAGGAAGTTCCTGTGTTGGGCAGCTGGGTTAGATATTCCAAGGGGGGAGACAAAACATTTTAAATCAAATATATTAGCATCCTGGGATCGAGGCAATGAAGAAACAGCAGAGAGAGGGAGAGGAGGAAAAGAACAAGCAAGGAGGGAGAGAGTGCGTGGGAAGGAAGAAAATGAGATGCAGCGAGAGGATTGAGAAGGAGAGTTCAAGAGGAGAAACAGTGGATTTAAGAACAGCCTGCAGAGCCCAGAGAAATACTGCAGACTGATAGATAAACAGAGCCTTACAGAAAAATCAAGATGACAGAAGTTTACAGTTAGCGACCATGGAGAGGAAAAGAGCTCGCAGTGGAACTCATTTCACATAAACAGTGAGAGTAGCACAGCTGGGAGTCATTATGTGGGGGAGACGCAAGTGTCTGCCAATCTAACCTCTGACTGCCTCTCGATGAATGTACACACCCACTAATCACCCCCTGGGGCCTGTACCATCTCTCAACGTCTCAGTCTTTGGTGTTTGAGTGCATTTTGGACATTTTTGATTTGGTCTTTTTGTGCTGTGGGTTTGATCTAACAAGCTTAATTGTGCATGTTTGTGTCAGTGATGGAGGGAGACAGCACGACTGTGTGTCCTTGGTTTATTATTGATAGTGCATAGATCCAACTGTCCTACTTGTGTGTTAAGGATAGAGACCTGTGGTTTGAAAGATTTTAATGTCAGCCAGAGGGTATTTGAGGGCCTGAAGTTACCATACTCTACCTTACGAGAGGTCATTGATTGAAATGGGTTCACCATGTTTGTTTGAACTGTGGGTGTTTGAAAATTGAAAAATGTGAAAAATATTTGTATCTGAGTGGAGGAAAAATAGATGTTTTCCATCTTTGTCGGCAAACAGGCTGTCATCAGGAAAGCGGCCGCTTATCTGCATCTGTACATCTTTCAAAACAGTCCCAATGGGAGGAGACGCAGTAACTGGTTGGAAAACACTGTCCATGTTTTGTTCCAGGCTCATAAATGTCCACATGGAAAATTCTTCAATTAATCAGAGTGCTTTTTCTATACGGAAAACAACATGGAATATTTCACGCCCACAGCAGAACATTATGGAGTTTGGTAACACAACACACACACAGTGACATTCTCAGACATACGTACTGGCCTCTGTGTGACTGTGGCACACTGAGAGGATGTAGCCAGTTGTCAATGGGACAAGTGCCATCCCATGAATTCCTTTAGCTTCCTGTCACAATCAGCCTTTGTTTGTCAGTCTGTGTGAGTACATGTGTGGGAGAGTGCAGTGTACACACAAGACTTGTGTTTGACTTTGTGGTTGGGTTACGCCACTTTGACTACATTATAAAATACACAATTTTTTTTGTTTATTATAGTGCAACATGAATTGTCACGCAAGGTCAGACAGGGGCTGCAGCTTTGACTTGAAAGCCCATGTCATTTCTTTGAACTTTATAAATGTAAGCTACATTTTCACAAAACACCAGCCCCCTAGGTTACAGTTGCATTGCCTATCGAAATATCAGTTTCCACACAACCGTAACTAGCTAGCTGAACAATGTTCGCTTCATGAGTTTTTTGAAAATGCTGTCTCTATCTGACTTTAACATATCCAGCTAACATTAGAAAAATCTGAATCTTACATTAGAGGCATCAAATAATCAAACGCTGGCAAAACGTTCTGTCTAAACGGTACAATTAAATAAGTTAGTTAGTAGTAAGCTAGTTTAACGGACATGCTAATGCTGAGAATTACAGCTTGATGTATATGCAGTGTTCTACATTTTGGTGATGATTGGATAACCTTTTTTTTTTTTTTTACACGTTTAATTTTTATATTTCCCTCTGCATGCGACCGCTGGCAGTGGCGTTGGCAGTTGATGAAACTAGATCGCAGCTTATTGAATAATTTAGCGGTGGGATGGCTCATGACCGCCGTTAACCCTTTCACAGCCAACGATCATTTGCTCCCTGTTTGCACACACACAATGGAGTGTGTTTGGGCACGCATGTGTTTGTGTGTGCTGTTATACTGTCGCTGAGTTGTTACAAAGCTAATTTAAATCTAGTGTGTGTGTGTGTGTGTGTGTGTGTGTGTATGCATGCATGTAAAGGATTTTGTCAACAATACTCTCACTTGCATGCTTTCCAAAAGGGGATTAACGTAAACTTAATATCCCGGTTATAATAAATCAGGAGGTCAAGTTTCCTTTGAGCCCTCAGTCCTGCTGAGTTTGGTTGCTAGATGTGGCAGATTACCATATCTTGAAAGCTGTGTGAGAACTGCATTGGATATAGAACACATTATTGAGAATAAATGATATATACTTGACAAAAACTACATCTCCTGAATGCAACCAGGTAAAGTTAAGAGTTATAAAAGCATATCATTTGTAAACTGATCAATCGATAGACGCCAGGTTAAACAAACAAGAAAGCATTGAAGTCATTTTAAGGGAAAATCCAATGTGCAGTTAAACTAAAAAGTGCATTCATCATACAATAATGTAATTTATTTTATGACTTTCCATAACTTGACCGGAGTTCTTTCCTGAGCTAAAAACTGAATCCCAGTTTTTATTTTTTTATTTTCAGGTTAGAACAATTCAGCTTGATTCAAAATCCTGTTTTCCTGCTGCGCTATGTAGACCTAAGCATACAATGTTCAAAACAGCTGCAAACATTTACTTTAGCCCCAAATAAATTGCAATAAAGTTGGAGCTTACATTTGAGTTTATGTCTCTAATTGTTTAACTTTTGACTGGCTCATGTATAGTTTTTCCAGAGTTTAGTTATAACCTTACAGTATATAGTATAACCTTGATGGTAGACAGAGTTTTCCAACAACTAGCACAGTTGTCGTGTTAGCATTAGCCTGTGCTACCTAGCTATGGCTGCTGAAAGGTAACATTGCAAATAGATGATCATCCCATGCTGATGTTGTGTAACGTCAGTGTAGCGAAAACAACTGAAGCATTTGGCACTTTTGCTTATGTAATGGGTGACAACAAGTTG